GGGGGGGGGGGGGCTGAATGCACTCAACAAGAAGTTAGGAGACTAGGGGTAGCTTTTCAGTGTTACATATGACAATGTCAGGCATGGGCGCCCGCAGAAAACTTTATAGGGGGGGGAGGCAAAAAAAAACGATTAACTTTCCAGGGGGGGGGGCAAATTTTTTTTAGTAATGTTTTAATGTAGTTTTAATTTACTGTAGCGTATTTGTATGGTGAACGAACGGACAGGACATCAGCTTAGTTACTTTCTCTTTATTTTAATAAATTTTGTGTCCATTTTTGATTTAAAAAATGTATCCAATCAATCCAGGGGGGGGGCAAGAGCCCCACCTGGCCCCTACCTGCGGGCACCCATGATATCAGGGTATATGACATTCTTCAAAAAACTTGTGTTATAGATCTCTATAGATTGCCATTGCAAAGCTACAGGAAGAATTTTATCACGTTGGCAGACTTCACTTCAAAACACACTGACTTCTGCTGACCCTTTCTCCTTCAAAATGGAAGATGCTAATTGTACGATTTTGAGTAATATTCTGTACCGGGTATGTTTCTTTTTTTTAATGCGGGTATTATAATGTATTTAACGATTTTGTTATGACATTGTAGATTTTAAGAGTTTGAGGGTAAACAGGTCTGGATACGCACCCCCCCCCCTTTTTTGTACTTCAAATACAGCTTATACTTATTGATCTTCAGTGCGATTCTGAACTCAGGACTAAGTTCAGCAGTTCAGGGAGATGAATGGACAAATGAGAACATTGCCCTCCACCTTCTGAGATTTCCAGTCATGTTGTTCAAGTGGATCATGTGCCTTTTCGGTAGTACCGGTACTTATCTGAGTTATAAGCTCTTTCCACTATGATATAAATATAAGTCATAGTTCAGGGCCAAATTCACTGATAATGAAAAGCATCTTCAAGCTATACTGAGGGTCTCAGTTGCTTCCTCGCTCAAGTCAAACGTAGCACAGCTGTTTATGAAGAAGCACTGCCAGGTCTCTGGCAACAAGGAGGAAAGTGAAAGTTCTTGAGAAACTTTGTTTTTGTTACAGTAACGCTACCAGTATTAACAAAGTTTCAGCCGATTGTAACAGTTATAATTTATTGAATTTGCTATCGTTTTTTAGTGGAATACTTTATGCGGCCCGGTCTCAGATAATTTTAGAACCCTAGTGTGCTGGGTATGTAAATAGGATGGTCCAATTTCTTTATTAGTTTACTTGATCTCCGAATGTCATTTCTAATGGAATATTTTAGAAATACCAATAACCGCTAGTAACACCTCACAATCGACTGAATTCGGTGCTAGGGTGGCGAAGAGTGAGGAATGCATTGACAATTCCATTGATGTTGGATCAAGGTCACTTGTAAAGGAAGCAAAAATCACAATTTAATTTTCAGAAACTGGTACATATGACGTGTATGTTTTAACTGACAATGAGCATTTTCATCCTACCATAACTATGCATTGCACTGACTTTTCAAAGTGTACAAATGATCAGAATGTTGTGGATGCAAAAAGATTACAATGCAGTTGTATCACATACTGTGATTAATTTAAATAAAAGCTATTGATATTTGCTAATGTGATAATTTTTGCTACCGGTACATGTTTACATTTTTAGTTATTGAAATAAAAAGAAGACAAGTTCCAAAATTATAAACATTTATTATAAAATTTCAACATCAAGAAAAATTGCACAAATGAAATGGAAAAATGGCAGTACTATTAAAATTTAACACCTGAAATGTTTACTTTGATGATAGAATACCAGCGAGTATTATATATTTTAAAAAAACCAGCAGAGTACAAAGATTAATTATCCATTGTAACTGTGTGGCAGCAATTTACTATCTAAATACATATGAGAAACTTAATACCGGTTCTAAGAAAAAATACCACTGATCTTTGACAATACATCAAATCAAACTTTTCAAAAGTTAAATGTGAAAATTTGGTACACAGCATATTAGTCCACCTCTTCCATACGGGAAGCATCATCCTCATCTCCCTCCAGTGGTGGCATGTCTTCTGTGCTGGCACCTTCAGTTCCAGCTCCAGCATCACCACATGCAGCATCATCGTCATCAATACCTGAAAGATAAGGAACGATTAAATCAACAATCTGTTTATTAATACATGCACATTAACATACTTCACTATAGCCACTCATTTACATATTATCCCCCAAATCTGTGAAACATGGTCTGAATAAACAAGATTTCAGCACATTGATCAAAACTAGCATAATTAAGCTATGATAGCAATAACGTTTAAACTAAAAATAAATTCAGTCACTTATTGAACTATTTTGATTTAAAAGTAAAAAAATCGTTCAAAAAGTAAACAGGTTTTTTTTAAACTTACCTAAGCCTAGTTTTATCATTCTGTGAATTCTGTTAGCATGTGAGGTGGGGTCTTCAAGACTGAAGCCTGATGCAAGAAGGGAAGTTTCAAACAGCAACAAACAGAGGTCTTTAACAGCTTTGTCATTTTTGTCTGCATCAGCCTTTTCTTTTAAAGTTTTAATAATGGGATGATCTGGGTTAATTTCAAGATGTTTCTTGGCAGCCATGTAGCCCATTGTACTTGTGTCTCTTAAAGCTTGAGCTTTCATTATTCTTTCCATGTTGGCAGACCAACCATATTGAGAAGTAACTATGCAGCATGGGGAAGTGACAAGACGATTCGAAACAACCACCTGGAAATAAATGCATTTCAGAAAACTGAAATTTGGCGAAGCTAAAGTCAGTTCAGTTCCATGTTCTACAAGTACAACAACTATTTACAAAACCCTAATCTGTATTCAAAACCCAGATTTGTATTCAAATAATTCGGCACTAACCTTTTCCACTTTTTTGTCAAGTATTTCCTTCATAACTTTGCAAAGACCTTCGAACTGTGACTTGGCTTCCTCAAGACGTTTCTTTTCAGCTTCATCCTCTGGTAATTCAAGACCTTCTTTTGTGACACAAACCAAGTTCTTTCCCTCATACTCCTTCAGCTGCTGTACAGAGTATTCATCAATGGGATCAATCATGTAGATGACTTCATAGCCCCTCTTTTTAACTCGCTCAACAAAAGCTGAGTTTTGTACAGATTCCTTTGTTTCACCTGTAAACAAATATCTAAAATTTAGACATACCTTTACAGATTCCCCACACACCTCCCCTATAGTGCCCTTTAAGATTTTATTTACAGCCAGGACCAACTAATTCCACCTAGCAAACAATTCAAGCATTACATTTTCTAACAGTGAAAATATACAGCTTTACATTTTCTAACAATGAAAATATACATCGCTCATTACAGATTTAGCACGTTTTTTTGTCCTTTATAAATAAATTGAATTCCAGCAACATATTTCTATAAAAGTATTTGTCAGGTATCTCCATGACTTGGCAAAGGCCCTAAAAACCTTTGTAACTGAAATTATTTTTAAAAACTTTTTCCAAAATTAAAATAAATCCCTATACAGTTGTCGGTAAATGATTTTTAAAACTTTGGTTGATATATTGCATGATTTATAGGAATAATAACCAAAATCAAATGTAATTAATACTCAAATTTGATTATATGCACCGAATTTCAGTGCTCCTTAAAAGATCTGTTGTCCAAGCCTAGTTTAAATATAAACAGAGTCACCACTTCTATAAATTATAACCATAAGGTTGGGTTCCGGACGGTAAAGGTAACATTTTTACCACCTTCATATAATTTTTAATTATGTTTAGTGGCTGTCGTCAAATTAAAAATAAAAAGGTATACCTGTAATGTAATAAATGTCCTTTTGATTCTCTCTCATCCTAGAAACGTAGTCCTTAAGGGAGGTCAATTCATCGCCGGATTGTGATGTATAGTATCTCAGGAAGTCTGCTAGCTTCTTTCTATTGGTGCTGTCTTCATGGATCCCCAACTGAAATTAAATTGACATTTAAGCTTCACTAATGCATACAAAAATTCCTAAAAAAGTTTTAAAAAATGATTAAGGTAAAGCTGCCAGGTTTTGTTTCTTGTATGTATGTTAGGTATATAAATATATATATATAATTAAACACTTACTTTAAGGTTTTTAGCAAACTGTTCATAAAACTTTTTGTAGTTTTCTTTGTCTTCTGACAAGTCTTCAATGAGCTCAACACATTTTTTGACAAGGTTCTTTCTGATGACTTTCAATATTTTGCTCTGTTGAAGCATTTCTCTGGAAATGTTAAGTGGTAAATCTTCTGAATCTACAACACCTTTCACAAAATTCAAATACTCTGGAATAAGGTCTTCACAATTGTCCATGATAAAGACTCTTCTGACATACAGCTTAATGTTGTTCTTCTTTTTCTTGTTCTCAAACATATCAAAAGGAGCCCTCTTAGGAATAAAAAGGAGTGCCCTGAACTCCAATTGTCCTTCCACAGAAAAGTGTTTCACAGCGAGGTGGTCCTCCCAATCATTAGTCAAAGACTTGTAGAACTCTGCATATTCTTCCTGTGTGATATCATCTGAATTTCTGGTCCACAGTGGTTTTGTTTTGTTAAGCTCTTCCTCTTCACTGTACTTTTCTTTAATTTTCTTCTTCTTTTTCTTATCTTTTGATTCAGCTTCATCATCATCATTTTCATCCAGATCCTCTACCTTTGGTTTGTCTTCTTCACTTTTCTCTTCTTTGTCTTCCTCTTTCTTTTCTTCTTCCTCATCATCAGAAACTTCCTTGTCACGCTCCTTCTCTACAAGCAGCTTAATGGGATACCCAATGAATTGACTGTGTTTTTTAATAACATCCTTAATTCTCTTCTCTTCCAAGTATTCTAGTTGATCTTCTTTCATGAACAATGTGATTCTAGTACCTCTAGACAACGGTGCTGCTCTGGATATAGCCACAGTGAAGGATCCACCAGCAGAAGATTCCCAGGTGTATTGTTCATCATCATTATGTTTTGAATCAACAACAACACGATCTGCAATAAGGTAGGCTGAGTAGAAACCTACACCAAACTGGCCAATCATAGATATGTCTGCACCTGCTTGAAGTGCCTCCATAAAAGCTTTGGTGCCAGATTTGGCAATGGTACCTAGGTTGTTGACAAGGTCAGCTTTTGTCATACCAATACCAGTATCCTCAATTGTGAGTGTTTTGTTCTCCTTGTCTGGGATGATTCTGATGTGCAAGTCTTTGCCACTGTCCAGTTTACTAGGGTCTGTGAGTGACTCATAGCGAATTTTATCAAGTGCATCAGATGCATTAGAAATTAATTCTCTCAGGAAAATTTCTTTGTTGCTGTAAAAAGTGTTGATGATTAGACTCATCAACTGGGCAATTTCAGCCTGGAATGCAAAAGTTTCCTTCTCCCCCTCCATTTCCTCAGCAGAGTTTATTTCTGGCATCTGAAAAACAAGTTGGTATAAATGAAAAATGTAAGTACTATTCTAAGAAATTGTGGATGCACACAAGATTTAGTAAAAAGATATCTTTTAGATATCTTTTTGATTGGGGGAAGGCGTCTCCCACACCCTGACACTGTTTATTTTTCTATATAAGTGGGGGAGGGGTCCTCCACAGGAAAATGACGTTTCCCTGGTTACTGTCCTCAGTCTATGGCTCGGTGATCAAAAGATTTATACAAGTTAATTTTGAAAACGGGGAGATGTTCTTACCCCAAAACTTATTTGTAATACAAGCAAGGATATAAATAAAAAAGAAGTTGACAGGGCCAGTGGGGTCTTCAGCGGTATATAAGTCATGGAGGTTCCCCAGCTAACTACTGGCCATAGTTCCGTTCATTTTTCCCTCCCCAGAAATTCACTCAATTGGAGGGGTCTCCCCTCTCCATAAATAATGTTGAATGTCCAGTTCAAATTGCAGTATAGAAATTAATAGCATACTGGTCTTCCAATTTAAAAAATAGCACTTTTAACCATGAGTGTACGGTATAAACGAAGATAATTTCTTATTTCTCCTGAATCTAGTTGAATTTTAATAAAAACCGAAAGGAAAATTTCATTTAAATTTTTTTTTATTTTAACTGTATGATTAGTATGAATCAGATGTTTTTGACCTAATAATGCTCAGTGAAGAACGGGAGAGTTATCATTCAGGTCCAATTGTTGGTCTACTCGAGCGGTCAGCAAATCCTTGCGGCTCCTTAACCTTAGCGACCAGAGTACGGCTCGACCAGACTACAGTAGATACTTTGGTCAAAAATGTAAACATTTTTTTAAAAATAAACCAATGGCACAGTTGAATAGAGCTAATTTTAAACAGAATTATAAAACCAAAATCATATTTTTAGCTGTTGTAGTTTTAAAGTTATGAATTTTTAAAGTACGACTTGGTTTGTCCTTTTTTAACATGGACTGCATCTCCACATTCTGTGACGTCATTCCGCCGATCGCGTCATACGCAATGACTATATAGTTTATATAAGGCTAAGGCATTCCCTTATCACTAAAATACTGTTTAGGGTCGATTATTTTAATCTTTCAACTTTGGCACATGAATAATTAATTAAAGCTTTCCCTGACCAATGGTTTAATAGTTTTTGCACACGGCAAACACTTATGAATGAAACTCTGAGATAGTACTACGATATAGCCGTTATGCAAGTGGCTGTGAATGGTTGCCAATGACAACGTGTTGCACACGGAAATTTCTGATCATTTATAATATGGACTCTACAGAGTTTTTAAAGCTCAAATTAAAACATTCCAGTTTAAATGTCTTCAAAATGCATTCTGAAACACAAGTTATCAAATATTTTGATGTATATAGTGGTAATAATTAAATATTTCTTAAGTATCGGCAACTTCCGCCATTAAAAAGGGGGCGTGGCCCACGCCATGTCGAAATAAGGTGGAGCCCCCTTACTTATGGTGATATGGGTCACTGGGAGAAGCGTAGCGAACGTGGGACACGACCTACATCAATGAGAATTGGCACAGATATATATCAATATCTGATGCCTTACACGATTTAATATGAAAGACCTGTATTTTATATTTCACAAAAAATTTTGCATGCGAAGATGCCTTATATATACCAAAGATTTCCAAAATAAAGGTCGATTGAAAAAGCAAATTAGTTGGATGGAAATGTAGGCCAAGATGTCTTCCAAATTATAAGGCCGGAAACGGAACTCAAATATATGTCCAAAGAACTAATTTAATAATAAATAGACACACACATAGGAAAATTAAAAACTCGGATTTTTCGGCGCCAACGCCCATTTCCGATACAAAAAAAGTAGTAGTCTCCCTTGTTTTATCGAAGTATCTAACTACAGTAAACAGCTTCTACATCGAAAAACATGGTTCTTGAAAATAAATATGGCTCTCAAAAATTTGAAGCATCCTACTGCTGATTTTTTTTTACTATTTACTCACTAATGAATGTGCAGACCATTGGTTTAGTTCAATTCAGTCCAATGTTGGGATTCCCCCAAACTGATCTCACTGCTGTTAGGGCACGGAAAACTCTTGGAAAACCCATGCCGTTCCGTTACCTGTTATGTTACCTCTTGTGCACAGAATTTGAATAAGTAAGTTTAAGTCTGCAAGTGCTTGTCTTTGTAAACCTATGTTGGTACAACGGACTATTGTCGCAATCAAACGCTAAAAATTGTCAACGATTTACGGTAACATATCATAGCCGTAGATTAGGGTGGTTGGGCGTCAAATAAAGTTTATTCATTAAAATTTAATTAATCGTATTCTGTAATACTGACAGATAGTTAACTTGAAGAATGAATCATACGTAAAAGAAAAACTTTCTTCAGTTAATTATTAAGTGAACACTAAAATATACTTACTTTCACAAGAGAGCGATATGAATTTCGTGTTCGGACCTTTCTCAGCTCGTGTCGCCGACTTAGATGCGAATATTTCCTAATGCACGGCGTGGTTGACTACGCTAAAATAGGCTTCGACAGTTTGTATTCTTCCGCGTCATTTTGGTTTCCATTTTACTTAGTAGTGTGAATTCTAATCTTTAAAAATTTATTTTTAGTTTAAAATATATAAATAAGCAATATTTAATCATAAATTATGTGTTTAAAGTTTTTTACTATTGAAAAAATTGATATATTGTTAGAACTATTTAGGAAGTTGAAGATACACAAAACAAATTACGGTGGTAATCCTAATGTTCTAGACCGTTCTTGAAGCTTCCAGTTGATCCAGAGACGCCGGGACATGACAACTTCCCTTTGGAAAAAATACTAGATCTAATTTTAGAAACGGAAGTGTGGTTAAGAGATTTTTCGGGATACGCTGTTCTGGAAGTTACCAGTTAACTTAGAAATAGCTATCGGTCATCCAACCAGTGTTGCATTTTTTTTTTTAAATTTGATCGGCTGTCAATTTCATGCTTACCCTCCCGACTTGAACTTTCATACAAATGCTTTTGGAATAAATAAATTTCGACTACTCTTAAACTATTATATTAATATGTATTCGATTATTTATTATTATTATTTTATTAGCCATTAGCATTCAATGTCATTCATAAAAAAAATAATTTAAAAAACATACCAATGCCAATAGTAATAACCGGTACTACTTATTACTTGAAATTTAATTAATTGATTATATTTGATAAAAACCATATGAATAAGTTGGCCCAATAAGTACTAAAACTTAGTTAATACACTAATACCGGTAATAATTATTCATTACGACAAACAAGAAGGATACCGGGTAATGATAAGGAGTAATGGAAATGCGAATAAAGTCATAAAAAAAGTTAGACGGTACTGTGTACTTAATATACTAACATTGTTAGTAACAATCATAGACAGAGTACCGTACCATATGGAGGATGGACCATGGGCATATATCACAATATCAGTTTTTGTGCGGTTCTGACACTCACGACTAATTTTTTTTTAAATGTCCCCAGATTTGGTCTACAAGTTTCTTAGAATTAGAATATACAATTCATCATTTGTAATTATTGTAATGAGCATTTGTTCACTTTTAAATAGGCGATGCGTTTAGTCATTCAATTTGTTTTAATGTTTGGTGCCCCTACTTTGAGAGATGAGAGTTAAAATTATTGTAGATAAAATAAATATTACCATTGAAATTTGAATGTGTTGAGTGTTTTTTTTGTTTTTTTTTTTGTTTTTTGTTGTTGTTGAAGATCTGGTTCAAATGATCTTGATTGGTACATTCTTGGTTTCGCTCATCATTTTGATGTAGGTACAAAATTAAAATATACCGTACTAAAGTTACGTGTCTTAAAAACTATCCGGTATCATTTTTAATTACCAGTATTTAAAATTATTGGTAATGTATTTGTATTTAGGTGTGAAATTCTAAACTGAATAATGTAACTGTGAACTTTGATTATAAAAATAAATTATAATTATATTTGCACAATTAATTTTGCATTAATTTTTGCGTGTACTTGTACATCTGTTGATGAAGTGGCGTCATTGATCAATGAAGTGCCTGTCCATGCAGTGTATTTGTTGATAAAGTGGTTTCCATGAAAATGAAGTAAATGTTAATTATGTATGACACTTCGGTCAATGAAGTGACCAGATTACTAGCTATGGTACCTGTACCTAAATTTATATTCCAGTCCAAGGCCAGTAGGTTTCTTTTTTTTTAACACTTGTACCATAGTTGCTAATAATATTAATTGCGATATTAATAATATTAAGCCTAAAATTACTGTGGACTTAAAATTTCAGAGGATCATACAGAGTATAAACTTGACTTATTTTATATCAATATAAAGTGTTTTAAATACTTTACATAAAAATGTAAAATCTTACAATTTTGTGTTTTCTACATTGAATTGGCTGAGTGGTGTTTTTAATTAAAGTAAAGCAAATAAAATTAAATTTCAGCAACATCGATGCTACTGGAAATGAAGGCAGAAGTACCGTACTAGAACTAGAACTATGAACCAACAGTAGTAACAGTGCTAGTGCTGTTTTATTCACAATCACATCATAGCCTTCTATGTACCGTAACATATACTATTAGTCGATAAGCCTATCACTATCAGTGGGTCGCGACCCCTTTGGGGGTCGAACAACCATTACACAGGGTTCACCTAAGACGGGTCGGGAACCTATGGCCCGCGAGCCAGATGTGGCTCTATTGATGGCTGCATCTGGCTCGCAGACAAATTTTCGATAATTTAAAAAAAGTCGCATTAATGGTAAGAAATACTCATTATTGATTAGCAACAGCATAACAATGTTATTAAAAAGAATTCAGAGAATTACACAAAATGCACTCATTTTACTTCGATTTTTAGTTTTGAACATAATGTATGGCTCTCAGAGATTTACTTTTCAAAATATGTGGTGTCCATGGCTCCCTCAGACAAAAAGGTTCCCGACCCCTGACCTAAGACCATAGGAAAACAAATATTTATGAAGTAGCAACAACATAAGTTTATGGTTTGGGATCACCACTACATGAGGAACTGTACGGTATTAAAGGGTTGAGGCATTAGGAAGGCTGAGAATCACTGGTCTATATGTTCCAAATTTATAACAGACCCTCCATTTATTGCATTTTTTACCAGGTAAAATCTATGTACCGGTATCGTTACCTGTATGGATAGGGCCTACATTTTATTCTTTAGAAATTAACAAAATCGTGAAAATTAGGCCCCACATAAGTTTCCAAGACATTTCAAATAATTTACCATCATCCATCCACACCTGTGGCTGTGGCACTATAGCCCATGCAGGCCATTGGCCCGCCTCACCACTCCCTTCCAATCAGACCAAACTGATACTTTCATTTTTCGTGCTTGGATTCCCGGCTGCTGTAGTCTTTTTTTTCCACATCATCTATACTTCTAAGCCCAGGTCTGCCTTTGAGCCGTTTTCCTCTGGGGTTTTGGTGGTGCACCCTCTTCGCCATGGGCGCCCGCAGGGGGGGGGGCAAAAAAGTAAATAGAAAATAAAGAGAAAGTAACTAAGCTGATGTCCTGTCCGTTCGTTCACCATACAAATACGCTACAGTAAATTAAAACTACATTAAAACATTACTAAATTTTTTTTGTCCCCTCTAGAAAGTTAATCAATTTTTTGCCCCCCCCCCCTTAGAAAGTTTTCTGCGGGCGCCTATGCTCCTCTGTCGTGTGGAATTCTTTCTAAGTGTCCTGCCCGTCAGCGTAGCTTGTCCTTTCTTATTTCTGCTACCGGTACTAGTAGTAGTAGTAGCGTGGGATCCTGACAACGTCGGCCTTGGGTAAACTTTCGCCATGTGCGAAGCAACTGTTCGGCGCCCCTTCCCTGTCCCTGTATGGCTCCGCTCTTTTTCCGATTACGACGCAGGCTATGGAGCACGTGTTGTGATGCTATACATGTAGCCAACCATACGGATTTTAACATGCTCATCAATTTAGACTGTTAAGTTTTTCTACGGACTTTGTTCCATTTCCATAATCTGCCTCGGACCCAAGGTTCACACTTCACTATAATAAACTATGGCCACGGCGCCCTGTGCGAGGGCACAGGTCGCACACCCTAGACGCCGGCGTTGATCCTGATTAAATACAATTCCTGGTTTGTTCGTATTCTATAATATAGAATGTGGATATTATCCATATTCATCATTTTTTGGTCCATATATTTTCCGAAGAACTTTTCTCTCCATGTGTTTAATAGGTTTTCTGACGTTTTTGTTAGGGTCCAAGTATCACTTGCTTATATTAAAATTTGTCTGATTACAGTTTTTTTTATACGGTAGCATAGAGTATAGTTTTCTTTGTTTTTCTGGTACCGGTAATTTGTTTACTGTACCGGGTAGGCCTACTTATGATTCGCAGGATGACATATTATATTTCAAAAGTTAGTCATGCTGTTTTGTGTCCCCTTTCTTCTGGCCCACTTTGATCACATTAACTTAGGGGTCGTTCGCAAATTACTTCATGCTAAAAATGACCTTTTGACCCCCCCCCCCCCTACCACAAAATAAAAAAATTTTTTTCCCCCCCCCCCCCGTGTACGTCACACCTAAAAAAAAAACAACATGCATACAATTTTCATAACTTAACTAAGATTTTTAATTTTTTAACATTTTCCCCACAATTGATTAAGATGTAGTATTATTAGAAAACTGTGACGCGAAACAACGAAGTCATCCCCAAGCCGAATGTAAAGTGACCACAACAGTTTTTGCGTCATTTTTTTTATATGCGCAAAAGGAGTGCGCGGCTGAGTTTTATGGTACTTATAATATATGAGGCACTTTCGACCTCAAATTAATGTTTTTAAAATTAATTGAATAATTTTTTTTTCAAAATTAGAATTTTTTTATTTAAAATAAAATAATAAAAAAGTGACATCACAAATTCTTGACACAACAAGACAAAAAAA